GGGGGGGGGGCTATCTCAATCAAGGAGCACCTGGTCGGTTGGTCATATTTGAGTGGACATCTTCCAAATAAATCTAACTTCAATCTGATACCATGTATTAATAAAATTAAATTAAAAATGGAATGGAATCAAAAGTTGAAACTAATGAATATGCCATTTAAATATCCATACTGAAACAATCTCTCCTCAAAACAAATATAAATTAACAAAGTAAAAATGTGTTTTTCAGCTCATGACCCTTCTGGCATCCCCCCCCCCCCCCATTTGTTTGTTTGTTGAGACATGTGATCAAGGCTGAAAAGAGTTAAAGTTAAAGCGCTTTAGATCCAAAATATTATTATATTTTAAAAAAAATGACTTTAAAAAGTTATAATCATGAAACAAGATTTAAGTTGTATAAATATGAATTAAAATAGTATTTATATCCAGTTAGCATTTGGGCACGTGTCCTTCAGCATGAACAAGAAGTATACAACAATTTTCATCAATCATTTTAGGCAAAAATAAAATACATAAATGTATCAAAGTAAAATGTTATTAGTGTTGTTTTGAATCCAAATCTCCAATTAATTTTGCAGCACTTAATAAATTTAATTTTTAAAAATTAATATTTTTTAAATAAAAAAACTGACAAAAAAAATTAAAATTTAATTAATATTTTTTGCATTAGAGAATAGTAAGGAAGAAGATAAATATATTTTTTAATAACAAAGTTTGGATTTTCAACACAAAAAAAATGTTTTGTAGATTTCCAATTCATCTGTAAACATTTGGACCAGAAAATGTTAAAGAACTTTTTAAAAATTAATTAATCATTACATCAGTTTGAAAAGAACTGTAAGAAAGCAATTATAAATTTAATGAATAAAATTTAGAACTTTTATCCAAAAAAAATTGTCATTATAAGTGGCCATTCATAAATTACTTTGCTCATCTAAAAAATAGTTTTAAGGAAAGGGGGGGGGGGAGGGGGGGTGATGAATTTTTAACAATATGTTGTGAGGATGTCTAACCTGTGTGACTAATTAATTTATGATTGGGTGTCGGAATGGGGTGCGCGTGGGGATAATGGACAAAAATAGCAGTCATGATTTCTACATAGCACAATCAAATGTGCCATTTAGAAAAAATAAATTTTGATTACACTAGCATTTATTGTGACTTAAATATCAGTATGATCAGCGGAAGAAAGAAAAAAAAAAAGAAGCATCACATTTACATAATAATTTATTTCTGTAGGGGTTAATCTAGGAATTTTTTGGTTTTTTGGGGGGAGGTGCCTTGGGAGCAGACCCTTAGCATGGTATTTTTTCATTCATTGAGGGGCAGCATGTTTATTCAACTGCTGAATTCATTTTTAATGGAGGGGAGGGGGGGTGCAAAAATGCTTCTTCCACCCCAGGTGGCACTCACTTTAGCTACTCCAATGAGCAGTGAGATCACCATTTTAATTGTTCATATAAAAAAAAAAATTATTTGATTCATTTTAGTAATATTGAAAAAGCTAATAAAAATGATAAATTATAATAAATGACATTCACAAATAGTCAAAGTGAATAGAGTAGATAGATCTAATTTTTTTAAAATTAATAAGTATTAAATGAATTCTGTTGAAACTTCATGACATGAGGCTTATCACATATAGTTAGAAAAGGACATCAAAAGTTTCTAATTTACATTAATGTATAATTAAAAATGTATAAAATGTGTATCTTCTCAGGCACCAGAAGCAACACAGAAATAATACAAGTTTACGTTAGGATTGTCATGAGCATTACAGAAAAGGACTGGAATCTAAGAAAAATAAACAAATGAGTCAATACTCAATATTTGATTTTTAGAATTTGAATAAAGAAGCAGAGACATGTTACGATGACACACATCATGTTTAGATTTGACTGAATATTCATTATTATAGTTGCTTTTATAAATTTGAAATTGAATGGAAAAAAAAAAATACCGGTATATATACATTATAATTGTTAAAAATAAGTGATCAAAAAATTAATTGGTGCATAAATTTTAACTTGGCTTGAAAGTTATAGAGAGATTTTTCTAAAGGTTAGCATACACATAGCGGTCTTCATCACTTGTTGAAACAAATGCAGGATTACTTTGTCCCTTGCTGCTGTTGTTAGCGTGACCATGATTATAATACACACTCTCACTCTCACTATACAGCTTGACCAATTGGTACAACATTTTGTACTGATCCTGTGAAATAATAAATATCAATTATGTTTTGGACACTTAACCAATGTCATAACTTTAAACACTGAAGTTAACCCATCTTGTCACCCAAGGGTAAAAAGAGATAATGCAGTTAAAAATGGCTTATATAAATTTAAAAAATTTGTTTTTAGAATAATTACAGTATACAACTAAAGTTAATTTTAAGTTTGAATAATTCCTCAAATTAAACACATTTCTTAAATTATGTTGCACAGAGTCAAAATCTAAATTCATTGAACATCATTTCAAAGTTTTAAGAATTAAATGAAAAATCATGATTAATCATATTAACTGTTTTATAAAGAAAACTGCTTTAAGTCTTTTAAAGCCCAACTTATGGCAATAACAATGGTGAACACTTAAGTTTTAGAACTAGTTTCTATTTCTTGTCATTTCTTCAATTGTCCCGTCTGTTGAGGAAGGGTCTAAGCTGAAACGTTCTTCTTTTATTGTACCATCTTTCTATTCAAGCTTCCATGCGCCTTGTTGTACCTTGTCTTTAAGTCTACACCATTGAGGTGATGAGAAATACTGACACAATCTTGTAGAACTAAACAAGATGACAACTCACCAGTGTGGGTATAACCTGCTGTCTTATTGTTTTTACTGCACCTACAACAAGTGGAACTGTTAAATAGTGATCATTGTCAAACCTATCCAAGAGGAGAGACAAGACGCATGCCAATCCGCTCATGTCAGCACCATTCCTTAATGAAAATATTATGAAAACAGTATAAATTTTTAACAGACAACTTAAATTACAAATAAATATGCAAAGGACAATTATCATGTCCTGAAAATCTGAAAATATTCCTTATCAAATATATTTCTTAGGTACATTTACTCTTTTAAACAAAATATTTGTTGTGTTTAAAAGGCGATTCCCAGCACACAAATAATGATCATTGGTTATAATCATTAATTTATATTTAACAAATTAATTTATTATAACAATCAGGGCCAGCGCTAGACATTTTTAGGTAGGGTGAAAATAGGCAATTGTCGCCCTCTGGAAAATTAGCGGAAGAGTTCCGAAAATTTTATTTGTTTATTTTAACCAATTTTGCTGCCTTTGGCTGTTTAGGCTCCAGTGTGATGATCACACATCGTACTCGCATTGAGCCGGCCCTGATAACAATTCTAGCTAGAAGGTTTAAACTGATCAAGACATTTCTGTGACGTAAAATTTAATATTAACAGTTTACAAATATGCAATCTTGCCTGCAAGTATACAAAACTTTTCCTTGATGGGCACTACAAGATCTGGCATGTGAAAGGAAGGCCAAGAATTTTTCTGTGTTATATACAGTGCTTGTGTACTTGAGATGGGTCACAGACAAATCCACAAAATGAGAATGCTGAACATAAAGTAAATAGGGCAAATGATAAAAAATAATCTATATTGATAAGCATTTTTAATTCAGAAAAAATATATATTAATCAGCATTTTAATTCAGAAATAATCTATATTAATTGGCATTTTAATTCAGAAATAATCTATATTAATAGGCATTTTAATTCAGAAATCAATTATATATTATTAAGCAATTTAACTTAGACATTATAAATTAATTATTTCTCATTTGTTAATGTTTAAATCTGTCAAAATTCTCTATTATCAATAAAGATAAACACACAATTTCATTATAGTTTCAATCAATGGAAAATAGGTGCAATGTAAATTATATTAGTGTTAGGGAGATAGATTCATTGGGGGAGGGGGGGGGGATCTGCCAAAAAAAGTGTGATGTAACCTTTAATTATGTTATTTTTTTAGTTTGTTATTTTGATAATTTAATTATGTCAAAATACAAAAACTTCATGTTTCATGACACATGTAGCTTCTGAACAAACAAAAAAACAAAACAACTTACAGTGGTTGGAGTTGGAATCAGTGATTTCTTTCTCTTCTGAACAGTGATTGAAATACTCTGCTCTTCCCATGAAGCTCCGAGATGAACTAGACCAGCCTCTACATTTATATTTCCGCAGGTCATTGGTTCACTCATGTTTGTTGGAAGATAGCCTCCTATGGTCTGGAGAAATTAAAATTATAAATATTTATTTTTTTAAACACAATAGAGATTTACTTGTTGAACATTATGGAAAGATTCTTTTAATTTTGCATATCTAACTGATTAAAATAGATTATCTAAGGGAGTTTTATAAAAAAAGGGAAATGAGAAGATTTGAATCAAAATAATTAAATACATTTTTTATATTATTAAAAAGCTGTTGTAAAAATAGAATTTTTTTTTTTTATGCATAGAATTTTACCAGCAGCTGAAACAATACTCTTTACCATGTTTGATCACATGACTATAAAACTTTATGAAATAAATATATTGTATTACTGAATCAGCTTCCTTCAAGTCAAGTTCAAATGCAACAATTAGCGTGACTCTGTACTGTGTTACAAGCCTCCAGAAATCAACAACCGTTGAAGGTAATGGAAGCTGGGTCAATATTTGGTGGTTTGGTTTGGTCAAACTCTGTAGATGACAGACAAAAACAGAAGTGAGATCATTTTTGAATGGCCATCTTTTTTTTTATTGTTTTCCTATTTTAAATAGTAAATAATTCGGAATCGTCTGGGTTCGCCATGTGTGTGGGGAGAGGTGATTTGCTCTCTTCGGAACCAGCTTATCCTTCTACAAAAATCCCATGCCCCTGCAACTATATTCTGCAAAGTACACACCACCTTCATTGTTATGATGTGTGTGTAGGCCTAATTTTAGTGTTTTGGCCACCACCACTTGATTCCCCAATTTTTTTTTTATATTGACCACCCTCCCTTGATTGGGAAAAGGTTGTTTACATTCGAATACATTCTATTTGTTCTAGAGAATGGTATCAAGTGAACCTATTCCTAGAATTTCTTTTTTAAGAGGGTTCTGATTTAATCCTTATATATAAGCCAGCAGCTTCCACAGTCACAAGAGATTTTTTGCTTCTAGACTTTTATGAGATGTTATGTAATTGCAAGATTATACTCTTTATGTGTGTGTGTAAATTAATATTTTTTTATTTTGAGGATTGTGTCTCTTCACTTGCTGTTCTTTAAGTTGATATAAGTTGGGTTTTTTTCAGTACATTTAAATTTATATTTATATAGAATACTCAAAAACAAAGCAGGCCTACTGCAATTTGTTTTTATACTTGTTTTTAAACTGATGATTTTTTCAAATTTTATGATAATTTTCCTCTGTTAGGTCTATGTAAATTTTTTTCCAGTTCATACAAGTTTTGTAACTTTGCCTTCAGGTATCTGACTTCAATTGACTGGCATATGCGTAAGAATAATTTAAAATTCTAAAATTGTCATGTGTTAAACAGTTTAAATAACTTACAGGTACATATACAGCATTGATGTAATCACCGACATCCTTAGTTTCACAGAAAAGCAATGGTCTGTACTGGTCTTCTGGAAAAAATAAATAGGTCCACCTTAAGTCTTATTTGTAAGCAATTTAAAGGGAAAACATTTTTGTAATTTACTTTATGTTATTTAACATTTAAAATTCCTTCTTTTTTTAAATCATAAGAACACAATGATAACATAAATATTTGATTTGAAGTTTTTGTACCCTTTTTTTGTCAATTAACAAACTCATCGTATATGTTAATTACAATATTTTTTTATTATTATTAGTAGAAATACTGAAAAACTAATGATGTTCACCAACTTGGCAAAATGTTGCTAAATCTGTTCTTCAGTTTGTTGTTAACACTTCTACTGTTGTGATATAAGCCTGCAATGCTTCCACCTGATCCCTCTTCATCTTTGCCATCCTCCTTGTCAGCACAAACTGTACAAATGGACTGAAATTAAAAATTATTAAAGATAAAAACTTTTAGACATTCCAATTTTCTTGGGAAAAAAAAATGCTTCATTTGAAAACATGACATAAGTTACCCTTGTAAACATTTAAAGATTAAACTTCTGTTTATGCACTTTGAATAACTTTAAAGAGCAATTTGAACAATAGTGATGAAATCCGCTACAATTTTACTTACTTGCAGTGACAAAGATTAAAAATAACTAAGTTCAGTTTGTACCAATTTTTTACTCTTCTCTAAAAGACAGTTTTATTACCTACCAGAAATTATTTTTTTTATTCACATATTCTTTTGAATTTTCAGTATCACATCCTTAAAAATTAAAATTTTAAATAAAAAAAATTCATTATATTTGTTTGTATTTAAAAAAAATACATTCTAAAGAAATTGCATTTATAAAATACTTTATTATTAATAAAGCTATTGAAAATACATTCCTTAGATATTCCCTAAATTAAATCTGTGGCCACCACATGAACACCTAAGCTATTAGGTGAAAACTTTATGGAAAAGCGATAAAGAGATGAATAAAATGTTTTAATTACCTTAAATTCCTTCTCAAAATTACTCTGCCCACGTGATGACCTTGCTTCTAAATTTTTAATCCTGTCAGTAATGTCACTGACATGCACAGTTGTGTCTACACAAATCATGGCCACTTGGACTGCTTTGTGGAGAAATATATATTGCTCCTGTCACGGGAAATAGAAAATAATATTTGATATCCATTCCTTTATTAGCTCAACTAGAATTGCAGGATCTCCCACAATGGTATATTTCTTCATTTTTCCTGTCTGATGATTAAGACTCTTAGCCGAAATGTTCTTTCACTGTCCTGTCCTTCTATTTCAAGCTTCCACATACCATTTACTTCTATTTCCTTCACAATATTTAAGTAGTCTTAACAACATGAAATGTATTTATTTTAAATTAAATTTTTATAGAGGGAGAGTAAAAGTTAATAAAAAATAAGTTTTATTCCCCAACCATTGTTATTTAAACATAGTAATACAATTATTATAATTCTCATAAGAGAGCTTTAAAGAATTATAAAGTGATAAATTGCAGTTTGCTGAAACGTTAAAATAAAATTATGATATCTTGTATACAACACTTACCACAGTTTGGATCATGTACACTCTGTCTTGTCTTAACTTCCATAAAGTAGTGCAGAAGTCTAACTGGCCTGTTTCCTTGGCCTCCACAATCAAGTTATGAAGAGCAATGAAGGTGCCAGTTCTCCCAACACCTGCACTAAAATCAAAACCTGATGCTGCATTGATTGTTGTCACTCATTTGTTCCATTAGCCATTTAAGATTTTTAAAGAAATGAACAGTAGTAAACCAAGTTGTAACAAAACATAACTTAAGAACATCTTATGTGTTGGCATAATCATGTGAGTGAGTGTGTTAGCATGTGTAAGTATAATCATGTGAACGTGGAATGCAAAGATATGTGTTTTTTTGTGTATGCTTGATCATGTGAGCATGGACATTACAAATCATGTGTTTGCATGTGCAAGCGAGAGTGGAATGCACAGATCAAATGTTTTAATGTTTATGCATGATAATTTGATTGTGGAAGGCATAGATCATGTATTTGCACAGTTCAAGAACTTTAGAACTTTCTGTCCATTCCTTGCAATTTACTGTGCGTGAATGCACATGTCGTGAATTAAAATAATGGTATATCTTTTATACCCTTGTGTTCATAAACATATTGATTTGGTGAATGGGGTTTTCACTACTTATTCTTATAGCTTCATGTATTGGACTTAGTGGTGTAGATGTCAGATCATCCAATTTATTTTTCACCATGATATGCACTTATCAATCTTTCTTAAGATTTTCCTTCTTAACTCTTCCTTTTAGCAAAGGTATTTAATAAATAAAATATGACAATAAATAATTTTAGCTTTCAGAAATTCATTCTCTTTTGTTACTCTCTACTTCTTCAAATGTTATTTTTTTTTTATATCTGATATGAAACATAAAGGTTCATTAATTTTATAACAAAAATATGTTTGTAACAGATAAGACTTTTTAAAAATATAACTACTTATAACAGCTCCTTTGCAGGAGCACCGCTATGATCAGATATTGAAAAGTTAATTAGTTGGCTTAAATGTTGCAAGAATTAGTATCCTACCTGCAGTGCACAACAACTGGGCTGTTAGAGGGAAAGAGAGAGACCCTCTGTTCAAAGTCCACCAAACTCCAAGCTGTTTTTGGTACCCCTTTGTCAGGCCATGAAGTAAAATGGAAATGAGTTAGCTGCTGTGTTGTCTCCCCTGTCTGGAAAAAGACAAGAAAAAAATAACTATTTGAATACAAATAATTAAGGGGGTGGGGGAGTAGGTGGCTGTGAAGTAGATTTAACAAAAAAACACAGATTGCATACAAATACAGATAAGGTGAATCAATAATTCTTGAATTTCAGACAAATATACAAACTTAAGAATAAATATGCTCACTAAATAAAGGTGATAAATCTCATGTGTACACAAGTATGGTAGAGCTTAATTCTTAACATAAAAAAAATTCTGAATGTTTTGCTTCTTTGGCATTAAAACAAATCTGAGCTGCAAATATTTTTATCTAAATTAGCATTTGAATCAAAATGGGTTTTGTTTTATTTTTGGCTAAAACTTCACAGTTTAAGTACACACAGATAGTTTGTGTCGTTTAGTTAACATTCGCACAGTGAGTAAGTATTTTCTTTTTATGTCTAGCCTACTTATAGGCCTACTTAGCTTTGAAACACAGCTTGGTTTTCCTCGCGGTTGGCTCTTGCTGGGGGGAAACCAGCACCACTTTGCTCGAGTGGTGTACACGTGATCTGCCTCTCCGTGGCGTAGCTGACTAGTATAGGGCGTGCTCCCTGAAGCCAAAAGATCACACTGTCCCTATCGAAGGACCCAATGAGCTAGGGGAGGGGGTGACGCAAAGCCTCCTTTCACTGGGAGGAAGATATTTTGCTCAAACCCCATACTCACCTTTTATCTTCTTTTATTTATTTATTTAATCTTGCAAAACGCATGACTTCTAACGCAACGGAAGGAAGCGCTAACATGATTACGTGTTGCCGGTTATGGGTCTGAGGTAGTGGGCCCGAAACCCCTACCAATGATTAAAAAGACGTGGCCCTGAGAAAGCCACCCCTAGGCGACCGTTTCGTCCCAACACGTCCAGTCCGAACAGCTCCCAGAGCGGTGGGCCGAGGCAACGCAACGCCTCACCCGGAGAGGAAGTTAAAGCCGCTATGGCCGGTCCGAACAGCTTCCGGAAAAACGCGGGCTGAGGCAAGGCAACGCCTCCCCGGAGGGAAACATGTCTTAGGGAACCCCCTTTAACCTGGCTCAGGACTCCCGGGATGGTGGGAGTTAGTAGGCCAGCATACTTCTCCCGGAGAGGAGGCAAAGCCGTCCCAAACCAAGGAAAACGTACGGTCCCCGGGCGGTGGAGGTGGCAACGCAACGTCATCTCCGGGGAGGAAGTAAAGCCGTCCCACACTGGGAAAACGAAGGACCCCCGGACGGTGGGGGTGGCAACGAAACGCCACCTCCGGGGAGGAAGTAAAGCTGTTCCGAACCCCCTGTTATTCATGGCCGAGTTGCATGGCCGGAGTCCCCAGGGACTACTAGGCCATGTTTCACGGCCGGGGCCCTAAGAGAGACATCTCGTGCCCTTTTTTGAGTATTGATCTTTATAAGTAGCTTTGAAACAAGATGTTTTTTTTTAAAACTTAAATTGCATTTAATGAAAATTTTCATATAAATTCTAGATTTTAATTTAAATTTAAATACATTTCTATTTTTATTCACTATTTCTGGATTAATAAAGCCATGGGTTCTGTTTAATTGCAGCAGCTCACCATCAAGCCCTCACCTTAAGGAGTTCCAATTTCCTTATTGTGTAATCAGCAAAGACTTGTGTATTTATGAGTCGCACTCTGATTTCTCCAAAATGCATCTCGCCATCTTCAGGCCAGTACTGATCACATTTATGCTAAAGTAACAAGTAACACAGAAGATATTTTTAAAAATATTAATATCATTCTATAGTCTATAGTCTATAAGTATAAGTTTCAAAATTTTTTTTTTTTAAAAGTGCATTAATTTAAAGTTAAAATACATTATGTATTTTATATAGCAATTTCTATGATTACTGTCTATTATTTTGAGCTTATTCTACTCAGAAAGAACAATTTAATTGATAGGCATATTTATTAATTCTGTTTTGCCTATGACTATGAGTTAGTGTTACACAGCACATTTAAATGTGTAAACTTGAAAAGTCTGACAGTTTTGATACGAAATCCAAGTATTCTGAAATTTGAATGTTAAAAACGTTTAAAAATGTCAAGTAAAATAAAAATTTATGGTGAATATTTGTATCATTAATAATTTACTTTTATACTCACTTTCGCTTCTTCAATTAGGTTCGTTAGCATCACAACTTTCTCTACTTTCTGTTCCCACAACATGCGAATGAAGTCGTCTACAATAACTTTGTTAGGTCCTGTGGATTAGTTGTATTCAAAGCAAGCGGAAGTCAATAAGAATATGTCAACTTACCAAATTATATAATCGAACTCATAAACCTAAGTACTCGTGGGAAACTTTCAACCCAGTACACTTACAACTAAATCTGAGTATCATCTGTTATACTGTTATTGATCTTACCTTGTGAAGCTATAAATCTTTTATCATCTTTGTAATCCTGCATGTGAAATTTATTGTATACAATTTGTTAATAATTGCAATTATAATTAACTAACTTTACTTTTGAATTTAATAGTTTTCTTTCTTTTCTTTTTAATTTAAATTTTATTCTAATGAATTTGTTTACATCGATAAGTTGGATAAAAATCTTAAGATTGAGAAAGATCAATGAATAATTCTTAATAAATAAAATTATTAATTCAAATAAAAATCCAAGACTCTGTTCTCACTCGAAAACTCTGCAACTATTCTTACAGCACAAGAACACGCCAAAAGTCTTGCCACAGACTAGTTTTAATGAACAACCGAAGATTTAAACAAGCATTTTCTGGACTGAAAAACATATGTACAATGAATGAAATAAACAAATTTCCATTTATTTGGATCAATAAAAACATCTTATCTTCCTCATCCTCATGTCCTTTAGTCCTTGGACCGTTGGGGCGCCACAGATGACATGTGAACCATCCTCCTCCATTCCTCTCTGTCTTCAACACTTCGCACTGCATCAGCCAGTGTTAGTCCTCTCCACTCTTTGATGTTATCCTCCCATCTTTTTCTTTGTCTTCCTCTTCTTCTCCCTCCTCTTGTGGTGCCCTGCAATATTTCGTTGGCAAGCCCTTGTTTCCTTGTTACGTGGCCGTACCATTGTAGTTTGCGTTTTTTCACAGTCACCAGTAGGTCATCGTACTCCCCAATTGCCTGACAAACCCTTTCTTTCACTGTATCATTGGAGATGTGGTCCCTATAGCAGATGCCAAAAATGCTTCTGAAGCATCTCATCTCCATCGCCTTTATTTTCCTTTCAAGATCGGCTGTTAATGTCCAGGATTCGCAGGCATACAGGAAAATGGAGAGGACTAATGAGCGCATCAGCCTGATTTTGGTGCTGGGGGCTATATTTTTGTCATTCCATATTTTCTTGAGCTTTTTTAGTGCTGTTGTAGTCTGCGCAATCCTGGACATCAGTTCGGGCTTGGAGCCTTCTTCTGAGACTATTGCTCCTAGGTATTTGAAGCGGCCGACAGTCTCTAATCTTTCCTCCCCGACCTTAATTTCAGTGGTGATGCCTGCGGTATTATTTGTCATCAGTTTTGTCTTTTCGGCACTGATTAGCATGTCGTAGGACGACGAGGTCTTATCGAGACGCTTTACCAGGTTGGCTAGCTCTTCTTCGTTCCCAGCCAGCACGTCTATGTCGTCCGCAAAGCGTAGGTTGGTGATTGTTCTGCCACCAATGCTGACTGTCCCTTCATGCGCTTCCAGAGAATCTGACATATTTCTCTCTAGGAAGATGTTGAACAGGGTGGGGGAGAGCAGGCAGCCTTGTCGTACTCCAACCGTGGTCTTGGACCATTCTTCGATGTTGTTGTTGAGGAAGACTGCACTAGTGACTTTATCATAGAGGTTGCATATCATGCTGGTTAGGTTTGTGTTGATGTTGTAGTGCCTCATGGTGGCCCATAAAGCAGCATGCCAAACCCTGTCAAATGCTTTCTTATCTAATCTTAATATAAGACACATGAAGCTAGGTGAGGGCGGGACACACGAGAAGTAAAAATAATATGCATAAGACTCATAAGAGATCATTGCTTGGAGCATAGTACCTTAATAAATGATGCATTGATATAATCACCCTGTTTTTTTTCAGGACAGCTTATGAGATGGACTCTTGAGTGATCATCTGTGCATAAGAACAAATACATAATTTTATAAGACACTTGTGTAAGTTTTTACAGTCAGTCAGATTACGTTCTGTAGTTTTGTTGTGTCATAATATTTTATGGTATGAGTGTGCGATTACATTTTTCCTTTTATAATAAAATCATGAATGAACTCAGTCGCTGAGGACTATGCTCTGATTTGACACCAGGGCTATAAAAACACGACTGTAATAGCCGTTTACTTTGCTCTTTGCCAGAGAGGAGAGATCATACACGTTGGGATTTCTCGTCTTTTGTGCAAAGAGTAGATTAACCCCCTTGAGACGGATGGGCCACCGAGGGCTGAGTTGCGAAATAGACGGATGACCGATCTATTGGCCTGATAATTTAAACCTCCAGATTGGCTGGTTGGTCTTAGTACCAGCTAATCAGATTACTTCTTACACATTCCTGCACATCCGGACATTTTAATGGCGGCCACCTTTTATTGTTTACTAGCTTTTGTTGTGTTCAAGAATTTTTGTGTTTGTTGCAAGTATTATCGTAAAATTCCAAAATTTCTGACAGTGACACTGGACAAACTATCCTTAGAGATTTTTATGTTCTAGCAGTGAACCTGACACTGATGAAAAAAACCAGGAAAGTAATGAAGTCGATCAAAATGATGATGTTCTCGACAATGTTGTGAACTCTTGGTTTAGTATTAGGGGTCCTCAACTGGATAGAGATGACCCCTCTAAATTTTTAGACCACATAGTTCCTATAAATATGCCTCAAGACACAAGCAACCCGTTTGAGTACTTTATGCTATTTCTTACACCAAATATCATTCAAATGTTTATGAGAGAGATCAATAGGCGTGCAGGCAACTTTCTCCGTAATACCCAGCTTAAGAGAAGGTCCCTAGGACATAACTGAAGGCATGTTGTAGTGTCTGTAACATCAGAAAAATAGCAAGCGGCAGGAAAAGTAAAAGGAGCCGAACCATGTGCCAGAGTTTCTAAAGGGCGTCCATGGGCCTTGCTTCCCAAAACACAAGTGTTAGGACATATTCAGGCTTCATCCATCAAAAAATTCACAGAATTGACACAAGTAAGTCATGTTTATTCTAAGTTTAATGAAAAAAATACACGCTTAATTTATGCAAATCGGAATAGCTCATTTGCATAAATGTTGAGATTTCATTTTAATTTGTAAAGATTGTATTAGTTTCCAATAAGAATATATATAGTTTAATACATGTAAGTACATTTGTTATCAATTTGTGTGCAATGTGATTGATGAGCTCGTAAAAAAGTGCTGGCACAGACACACCGAAAAGGCTGCGTCCCGAAAGAATTAAACTAGATGAGCGAGATGAGTTAATATACCTCGTGGATAGGAGTGCAATTATCAATAGATTTATGCTGGATATTATTTTATGAAAGATGGGTACGAATGTTTTGGACAGTTATTTATTTGGAATTTTAGTAATTTTTTTTTCGTAAGCAAATTTTTAGATTGTATCCCACTCTTATCCGATACATAAAGGACCTGAACTTTTAAACGATTCGTTGGTCATTTTGACTTGTTACTACGCATCAACCTTATATGTGTTAGGAGAAAGAAACTGAGTCCTAGACTCTTGACATTATCTTCTGTGGGCATATGAAGGGGGACCTATCCCTAGATAACGTACCAAACTCCACATAAGTGCCCAATAAAAGAACGAATCCTTACCAATAATTTGATATATCATTTTAAAAAGTGAAAATGCATTCGAGTGATAACAGGCATTTGCTTTTAAACAGTGGTATATTGTTAAGCTACCGCCAAACTCAAAAGATAATGTAGTGATATTTAATACTTTTTCTAGGCATGTAATTTGTAAGTTACTTTATACAAATTGTAAACAATATTTTAAAAAAATTAAAGACATCTGAAACATTTTCTTTTCCCCCCGGCTACTCAAAATAGATCACTTTTTCATTATCATAATAATATTCAAAGTAAAAAAGTGTAAGACATAACAAACAACTCACAAGCACTGATATTTTTGTAGCGATTCTTGGCTTTGTTTTCAGCACTAAGACCAACACTCATAGAGACATTCACATTGGCAGGAATGTTCTGTGGAAACAATTGTAGCAAGAAACTTCAAATTGATCACAACTTGAAATACATGCTTAAATTAAAATAAGGAGTCTTTGTCCAGAAATATTTCAAAGGCTTTTTTTAGAAGGTGCCCGTCAGTAATTTTCATAAACATTGTAACCATAAACATTTTTTTGTTGTTGTAATTTGAAGATCTAACTTAAGGAAGTTACTAAGCGCCAGTTCACACGCTCAAATTTTCGATCATGCTTTTGATGCAATTTTGGTATGAAGCTTTTTCACAACTAGCAAATTTACTATTTGATCAGATTCCCATTTGTGTCCCAAAAATAAAAAAAATGAAACCACGCACAAAATAGTGCGTTTTTAACAAACATTTGACTCCAAATTTGAAAGGAATTTGATCGTGTGAACTGACACTAAAATTTGCGCAGAATTTTGATAGGTACTTAGGTACATGTACACAGGCCCGCCGAGAAGGGGGGGGGGCAGTGGGGGGGGGGCAAATGCCCAGGGGCCCGGCGGGTTTTAGGGGCCTGGCCCGGGCCCACAATCAATTTTTGAAAATATTATGATTGGCAATAAAAAATGTATTACTTATGCTTTTATACATGTACACAGGCCCGCCGAGAAGGGGGGGGGGCAGTGGGGGGGGGGCAAATGCCCAGGGGCCCGGCGAGTTTTAGGGGCCTGGCCCGGGCCCACAATCAATTTTTGAAAATATTATGATCAGCTATAAAAAATGTATTACTTATGCTTTTGTAAATATAACTTAACTAAACTTAATTACAATCTGATTAAACTTCAATTATACAAAGTACACGATCTTTCAATTTTTTTAAAACTCTCATAAAGCCTAAAGATAGTTTAGAGGCTCAGACCTCGGGGGGCCGTGACAGCCCTACCCAGTGGCCCGAAATTTCTGTCGACGGGCCTGCATGTATAGCTTGTCCATAATAATTCATACATGCCAACCTGTACGGTTTACCCGTACTTTGTACAGTTAAAAAAAATGCTTCAAGTTGTACGACCGTCTAGGT